TCCTATGTGGCTGGTGAGGTGGCTGCCCCCCACTGATGACAGACTTCCCCCACAGGACAGCGAGGCAAGGGTTATGCTTGGAAAGCTCGTGATGGACCTAGCAAGGAGGCTGACTTGCAAGACTAATGAAGGCAGGAGGTTTTGGGAAGAATGAGACCGCCTGAGTGTCCTTGTGATTTGCAGAAGACATGTAAAATGCAGCCAAATGCACCTGATTCACTTTTAGAAATACCCGCAACTTACTTTCCCTGAAGGTGGCTGTCTCACAGAGAGATGTACTAGCTACTGAGCTAAGGGACTTGTAACAGATTTCATGGAAGAGAAGAGAAGCATAGGCAGAGAAACCCTGCCATCTTGTGGGGAAGGATGACTTGCAGAATCTTCCCTGCTGAATTTACAGATCAGTGTGAAGTAAATACAGACTCTTCCGAGCTTGAAATCTCGAGAAAAGCCAAGGGCTGTTGTGGTGGAAGTACTGCTGCCCCTCTGCTAGCGAACTGTACCAACAAAATAACGATTGCGGAGGCTGGTTAGCATTTTATTTACTATATTCCTCTTCTGAATCTTTCTCTTTGTGAATGTATTTATGTGGCTAGCTAGGAAAGCAGTTTAATTTTCTAGCACAAACTCACTGCTTTTAAATAAGGTACATGAACGGAGACAGGACAGCAAATGAAAGGAGGAACCAGCCTTAAACCATATCCAGGATAAATTTACTGACTCCTATTGGATTTATTGCCCTACATTTTAAGCTGAGTACAATATTCTGTGCTGGAGGCATACTATAATGATAGTATATATCAGTTTTTCTGCCCCTAGAATAGAGCACAACACACACACACACAAGATTAGTTAATGTTTGAGGAGCAAAGCAAGAACATTTTTCTGCTAACCTACCCTACCCTAACCTTTCCTTTTCTTTAATAATAATTATACCTGAGCTCCAGATTGAAATAAGTATGTCAGAATTGCTTTCTACACTCTTGCTTTCTACACTCTTAAGAATTTAGAATTGACACCTGACTTGAAGGAGCAGGACTGAACAACAGTTTACTCTCTTTCACAGAGAGCAGTTTTTCAGCATCTTGTAAAAAGTTTTTTCCCTTTATTAGCTCTTTGTAGCATACCCTGAGGCCAACACAGTGGATAGGATAAACTCCTATCTGGGTTTTACCTGCATTGGAAGGCATGCATTTCTTTTTTATCCCTGGTTGGCTGAACCTGGTGGATTTGATTTAAGTCCATTTACAACTTGGATGCTCTGGACTCCCTGGCATCTGGCTGGGTTCCCCAGATGCTTCGCTCATTCAGGTAAGCTTCTTTCTAGGCTAGTGAATATATTGCAGACAGCGTGATTTAACAATGTTATCTTCGGCAAAAAGTTCTGTAAGAACATTGATTGCTTGACTCTTCTGGGCCTAGAAACCATTGTCTGTGGTTCAGGTAAAAACATTACAAAATAGTGATTTTTGGTTAAGTCAGTTTATCTCCAGAATGGTTCCATTCAGTTAGACTAATCCCCAATTACACACTATGATGGAGAGGAAAATCGGTTTGTATGTTCTGGTAGTTCTGTTGCTACACTAAAGGAACATCGCTCATCCTATCTTTTCCCACCGGACTGCCTTTGAGAATCTCAGGTGGTTATCTACCAGTGACGAGGTCAAATCAAAGTTTATGTTACGTATCCCCTATTTGCAGCACCTACTGCAGCTTTCATAGCTTCAGCACAGCTTCAATGAGTTGCAACCCACTGCTTCAGTTGATGCTTCAACAAATTGTTTTCCTGCTTGACTTTAGTGAGGTTCTTTCCAAGGCTCTGACAGAATGATTAATGTAGCTACGGATTTTGAGTGTCACGTTAATATGTTTTCAACATTGCTTTTATCCAGCAGCAGATCAGTGAAGAGAAAGTTTACGCAGCATGTAAAAGCATGTTATAAATCTGAAAAGACTTCTGGCTTCTGTGTTGCTCAAAATTGTTGCTTGGTGTTAAAAGGAGTAAAATGGTATAGGAACGCATGAGATCTCACACCAGCCATTGTTAGGTGTTTTGGAGCTATGTTAGAGCTCTTAGACACACGTAACCCTGGACACCATCCATCTCAAATTACTGTAATCAGGTCAAGAGACAGTTTTGTTCTTAAAAGCTACAGCAGATTAGTGTTTAAAGTCATTCCACCGTGGGGTGGGAGCTAGTCAGTTCTCATAAACAAGGGAGGACCAGGGCTAAGATGGGAGTTAAGCGAGGAAAGCCAAGGGAGCTACTGAGTCACAAGGGAGCAGTCTGTTCTGGGGCAGGACCGAGCCAGGAGAGGTGGCTCCTCTAATATTGCAAATGGCTGTGTTTTAGGTTTGTATTAAAACATGTAGTTATGCATGCACGCAGCGTATACGCCAAATTTCGGCTTTGAGTACTGACTTGCTGTTGGCTGAGATGTTCTTTAGCTGCAACTTCACCACTTACTACTGATCATTTGTAGTAACTCCGCTACGCTCTCAGTAACAGCTTTTGAAACCTACAGACCTGTGCCAGAATCTGAACTGCAGACGGCTGAAGAGCTCCTCAGTTTGTTACCCGTCTTGACAGACAGCTGATCTCCTGCTCAGTTCTGTTTGTCTTTCTTCACTGGCTGCAGGTACATTGCCTTCTGGTGTTTTTTTGTTGCCTCCAAGGAAAGACATCAAACATCATGTTCTCACTGTGTGATCCAAAATGTCCGTGAGAGATTGGCTGTTATCAAAACATATGTGATAGGAACTTTGTTGCAATTAGTGTGAAATGTTTCAGCTGACACATGAGTTGTCATCTTTTACAGTGACTACTTGTTAGCGGTCACAAGTGACTGTCCGCTCTTTTGGAAACAGATTCTCCTGTTTCTCTGTTAGGTAAGCGTACAGCTGAGAGAAGGATAGCATAGAGCAGTGCGGTAACATTCAGAATGGGTAGCAGAAACTGCAAGTGAGCTATTGTGGAAGCTTCTGGCTAGTTAAAACACCAGTTCAGCTGTTGGCTGTATTGACAGAACCCTTAGTAAGAAGATACTGTTGAAACTATTAGAAATGGTTAGAATTATTAGAAATAATTAGAATGGTTGAATTAAGACAGTTGTTTTTGTTCTCACATCACCAGTGTATCTGTAATATTGAAGCTGTTGGAATATATGCCAGTCCATCAGACTCTTATCAGAAGAGACGGTCAAGCACAGTTGACATCCGAGGGTTACAAACCCTTATCTTTGATAGACAGACTCCAACAGGGAACACGCAGCTAGAGAGTGGCTTTTACAAAGAGGCCATAGTATCACTGCTCTATTACATGCCATGTTCATGTTTCATTATTTTGTTCTGCCTGGAACATGCGTAATCGAGCAAATTGTATCTGCTGAGGTCTGTGATCCTATTGTTGGAAGAGGTTTGGGAATCCCTATTCTAAAACCTCAAAGTAGTGGGATGGAGATTCTAATTAGCAAGCAGGTGGAGTCAGATTTCTTAATTGACTTCACAGGGTGCTGCTCGGCTCAGCATTTCTTTGGGGGAGTATGGATTCTGGAGCCAAATTTTAGCATTCTCTTCTGAAACTTTTGCCCTGCATCCTCCTCTTCAGTTTGGTTTCACACTCAAAATCTATAATCCATGCAAGCTGCACTGAAGAGGAATGCTGCAGCAAAGCCTGATAGTTGTGAATCAGCTTGAAGCAAGCCCCTGACTGGCCAAGAGAACAGGAAGGCGTCTGAACTTTAAAAGGTGATAAGGATTGGCAGCATCCGTTCAGGCAGGTGGCAGGAAGTAAAGACATGGACTCTTTGTAGGTCATGTGCAGCCACCTATATGACCCGTGACAGTGTAACAGGGGTAGGCACTGGGCAGAGGATGAAGATTTTAAAGCAAACAAGAGGTGTTTGCTCAGTGCAACAGTGTTACGTTTTTAGATATTAATCTCAGTGAGCAGGTTGAGGTATTTACCCCTGAAAAAGCGTTCTCTCCAGTTGTGGGACTAAGTGCAGGACTTACTGGATGAAATTTTATGGCCTGTATATGGAGGGGATGATGCATGATAGGCTCTTTTAACCTTGAAATCTGTTAAGTTGATTAACTGTGTTAAACATTAGTTTTAAATCACTTTTCTCTCATCTTTCATCCACGAGCATAGCCAAGGAAGGGCTTGGCATTGAAATCACCATTATTTAAATGATGCCCTCAAGCACAGGAAGATATATGAGGAGCAAAAGATGTGTGACTCCAAAAGAACTTACCAACTTTGGACAGTTTTCTAATTCCTTCTGGTTTTAATGTGTGTAGCTGAATGCAAAAGCCATCTTATTCTCTGGCTATACTAAATCAAT